CCTCCCTCAACCCTTCCCTGCCAGCAGGTGCTGCCGGCGGTGGGTGACTCATGTTGTGTCTGGCCAGGCGACGTGGGTGGCACTGGGGCCAGAGCTGGCTCCCCACTGCCTGGCACACTGGGGATGCTACTCCCACCACCCCGAGACTGCCTGGTCTCAGGTGCAGGGGTGAGGTGTGAGGATCCTGCTGCTGGGATGAGCACAGGGAGCTGGGCAGTGCCTTTCCCACCTGCAGCCTGGATTGCCTCCTCATCCTCCTCTGTAGGATTTAAAGGGGTCTGGGTGGTGGGGGGTCAGCTGGAGGCTGAAATCTGGGCTCAGGGCAGAGCTGGCAGAGCTACAAACCCTTTTTACATCCTGCTGGAAACCCTTTTTAAACCCAGCTGTAAGGCTTTCCCATCCTAGGCTCCCTTCCACTGCCACTTTGCTCTTACCAGCCTCTCTGAGTTCCCGTTTCCTCCCCACTGAGCTCTTTCTTTTACCTGCACGACATGGGAACGCAGTGGAGCAGGGTGGCAGAGTCTCTCAGGAACAGCTCCATCATGGGGATGAGCTGCTGCTGCCAGAGGGCCAGTCCTTCCTGGAGGATCCCGGGCAGTGACCTCTGCCAAACCATGCCCATTAACCACAGGGCAGGGTGATTCCAACCTGTGTCAGCCCTCAGAAGAATGAAAACCTCGGAGAATTTAATCCCTGACAGGAAATTCCCAGGATATTTGGACATGATGTAAAAAAAGCCAGCAATGGCCTGGTGACAGCCAGCAGCTCTCTGATGGCTCTGGCAGCCTGTTTCTCCATTCTTCTTTGGAGGCATTGTCTAGCTCTTCTCTCTCCTCCTCTTTCCTAGAAATTGTTTTTTCAGATGATTTTGTGACTGCAAGATCCATTAAAAGTTGTCTTTGTCCCTTCCAATGGCCTTCTGAGTTACTTGATGCTGGTGATCCTATTTGACATTTATTCAGGAATTCAGTTAGTCCACTGGTGATCAGCTGGAATGGAAAGCAGATGTCTCTGGAGTTATTTTCCCCATTCCCAGTACTGCTCAGAGTCCTCTGTTCTTCATTACCCAAAAATACTGTCTCTCAACTCCATATGGAGAACCCAGTGCTCGTGGCCACCTTGGGACCACTGTGTCCACGCTGGCATTGGTCTTGCCTGGAGCTGGTGGTGGCTGATGGAGGAATGTGCCCAGCCCCACTGAAGCACCCACCTGGGACCCTGACAGCCTCTTCTCCCTCTCATTATGATCCACTTCCCATTGTTAAGACAGGAGCTTTAAGCCTTCTCACCAGACATTATTAGATAGATAGATACATGGAACTGCCTCTTTAATGGATGATAGACCATAAGCATTTGTATCTGTGCATATTCCCTGCACTTTGGACATTGCTGTAATGAATTTGCTTCAGCCTCAGCCACCTCCAGCCCCCAACCCCTCTAGGCTGTCTCCACCATCACTTGCTCTCTCTCATGGCATGTGCTGTGATCCCAGGCCAGGGGTACCCGGGGGCAGCACAGCCCTTCAAGGGGCTCTTCCACACCATAGTGATGCTTTATTTACTTCACTTTCTAAGTGATACTACATTTGAATTAATTTTTATGCTGTTTGGTTGGGTTTTTTTTCTCGAAGAGATTAACAAGCAATTCAAACTAATCTGAAGTGACTCACACTTTAGAGACACACTGTGCTTGGATCCGCAGGGGAGAAATCTGGCGCCGGGTGGCATTTATCCCGATCAAAGGCTGTGATCCAGGCACAAAACACTGAAAAAATAACCCCACAATGCCAGATTTAATGGAGACAAAATATGCTGAAAAAAGTAACTTTGATCTGCCTGTCTTTTTCATGGATACAGCTGAGTTTTAGACTTGTTTAAGTAAATTGGTTTACAGAAAATAATTAGCACACGGCAATTTCCTCATAGACATCAGCTCTTATCTTGGCAGAGACTAAAGTGCTTTTTCTTCTCAGTGACCTTTGGTTTGCTGACTTTTTTGGGAGCATCTTTTGGTGAATAATGGAAAGTGATGCTGTGTTCAAAGAGGCCGTGGTTGCCAAGGGAGCTGTTAGTCCCCGTCTGTTTATAACCGCGAGACAGGAGCCGGGTTTGAAGGATGGCAGTTGATGGTGGAAAGCACTAGAGCAATATTGTAGCAGTGGAGCACTTCAGCTGCTGCTGAAAATGAAAATTCCTGTTATGACAGAGGCTGAAAGGGAGCATTAATCCTAAAAAAAGGGTCTGGAATTGGGCCGGTGTGTGAGATTTCCAGCAGTCTCAAGCAGGGAAGTATGTTTCTCTCTGCTATTTGGGATAAAGATGGGCTGGAATCCTTAAATACTGTGCTTTGCAATTCATTTTATGGCAGGCAAATAGGCCAATTTTTCTGTGATTTCTATGGAAATGTTGGAATTTGGGGCCTTTTTGAGCATTGCAGTTGTAGTAGCCATGGTGTGTGTTTTCCAGCATCCTCCCTGGCCCATACCTCACCAGTCCCCCACACTGTCACTGTCCTTGGGGTCTATCTGATGCCTGAGCAGTCCCTTCTCTCTCCTGTGGGGTCCCAAATTTAAACTGCAGATCTCTAGCTAAATATATTAATAAAGGGGACAGTCATCACCCAGACAGAGGTGAGAGACTACATCCCACGGCCCTTGGAAAAGGGTCTGAGATGGGGACCAGGCCATTCACAGTTTGGAAAAGGTCCAGTTGGTTCACTTCTTTCCTTGTTGTTGATTTATGTGCTACATCTATCTGATGGGCAGGCACCTGTGTGTAATCAGATCTTGCAGCAGCTCCACCAATGCCTCTTGCAGGTGTTTAGGATTCAGACAGAGGCGCAGGATTTAGGTGAGAGGATTTAATGATCTCCCAGCATCCCTGTTTGCTGTTTTTCTGTGTTGCAAACCTGGAAATCAAGAGCTTACCAGGCAGTGGGATGGACTGGGAAGCATTTTTTGGTAGGAAGATCCCCCTGTGATGACCCCGTAGCTCCCCATCCTGCAGGGACTTTTGTGAATACAGGATTTAGCTACTGAAACTTTCAGGAGGGTGTTGCAGAGCAGCCTGTCTATCCCCTGCAAGCACAGGCAGCTGTGGGTCATGCCTGCTGTGTGTGCTGGGCTAATTAGCAGGCATGGCCATGGCTGGGAGATGTTGCTAAGCCAGAGAGCTATGTTGGAGAGCTGCAGGAGGGCTGCCAGGTAGCAACGGTTTTGTAGCAGTAGTATTACATTTGGGTAATATTTTGACTTTTCAGCCTGTGTTTCTGAAACTTTTTCTTCCGGGCCTTGTCTTGTGACGGTGGCATCCAGCAGGGATGGGCTTTTCATGGAGGGGCTTTGTTGGGGCTGTGCTTTTCAGGCTGGCTTTGGGAAGAGTTTGTCCTGGCTTGTCCTGTCCCTCGAGGGGTTTGCACATCAGGTAGGGATGGGGGTGCGTTCGCCTCTGTGTTTGGTGTCTTTGGGCTGCAAGCAGCATGGCTGTGGTGCCAGGAGCTGGAGTTTAGGGTGCACCCTGTGAAGGGTGAGAGCTGACAGAACTCGCCATCAACAACACAGCTCAGTGTCTCCATGGGAACCAGCAGCAAGAGCATCCTCCAGTCCAGTCCAGCTGGAGAGGAGGAGGAGAGGAGAGGAGGTGACTGTCACCTTCCCAAAGGGCACAGCAGGGCATTGCTGGGTTCTGCTTACCAGCCAGCTCTGGTGTCCCGGGGGATTGGGGTCTGCTGCAGGCTCTGAGTGCATGTGCACACTGGTGCAGGGTACCCACAACTCTTTCTGGCTGGTCTCCCCTGATCCTGCCTTTCTCAGGGGAGCTCTAGCTGCGTGGAATTGCATTTGTCCCCTTTGCTTGCTCAGAGCAGGACATTGTCTGGGGTGGGTGATGAACAGAGAGCTGCTGGGACAGGATATCCTCAAGACACAAGTGCTATTGCTGTGACTTGGGGTCACAAATTCACACATGGGCTCACTGCACTCCTTCCCTCTCTCCCACTCTTCGTTCCCTGTTTTTGTTCCTTCCTCAACCACTGTCTGCCCTCTCCCATCCCCTGCTCTCTTGCTCAGCCGGTGACACCAGATCTCCTGGTGAGCCCCAGCATCCAGGATGGGGACCTGGCCTCTGAGTGCCCAGAAGACAGAGGGAACTGGACAGGACGGCTGGATTTCCTTCTCTCCTGCATCGGATACTGTGTGGGCCTTGGAAATGTTTGGAGGTTCCCCTACAGGGCTTACACCAATGGAGGAGGTACTTGGGCATGCCTTGGAGTGGCCAGTCTTCCCCTCACTGAACTGGGCTGGTGGGACATATCCCCAAAGAGATGCTCCCCTTCTTGGAGCTGGGAAGTAGCAGTTATGAATGTGAAAGGATGAAGCCTCTTCCTGCCCCCAAAGCTTGTTTAGGGCATTAACCACCTGTATCCGTGCCTGGAAGGGCCTTACCAGCCCAGCTTTCTATTCCTGGCCTTGGAGGCATCCCCAGCTCCATGCTGGACTGAACACCATCTGAGCATCCCTCTTGGTGTCCAATAGCTTCTTGGCCTGGTGTTCTCCAGGACTCAGTGGGGTCAGCAAATACTTCCCAGCTATTGGAGGAGGTAGAAAGTTTTTTGCAATGCAAGAGCCTGGGGTGTTCATGCAAACTTCTCCCAGAGCAATTGCTTGTGGCATGTGATAGTAACTGGAGAATTTCACAGTGCTGGTGAAAGATTCAAGGGGAAAAAGTCAGAAGCAGGGGGGAAGCACAGCACCAGCTGAATCACAGCCCATTCCTCCTGCACTAACAGTTGCTCCTTGCTGTCTTCCTGATTTTGGTGTAGATCCTTCAGGGTCACAGATACTGAGTGAATGTTATTCACTGTCACAGATGAGCTTTAGGTGTTTGCCCTGTGTTACTTTCAGGTGGTTTTTTTTTTACCTTGCTTCTTGCAGGAGCTTTCTTGGTTCCTTACTTCATCATGCTGGCCATCTGTGGGATCCCCATCTTCTTCATGGAGCTGTCACTTGGCCAGTTCTCCAGCCTGGGGCCACTTGCTGTCTGGAAGATAAGCCCTCTCTTTAAAGGTGCGTGGGTGAAGTCCAGAGCCTCTGCAGGGTCTCTGCAAGAGCTGTTTGATGAGGACATGGACCAGCAGCATCATCTCTTGATGCTCAAAGCTCTTGTTAGAATCAAAATTCTGGGGGAAGGTGGAGCGGGCTGGAATTTTGAGTTAGTTGTTATAGTGGCTGCAAGATATGTATGAGATCTGTCAGTCTTTGAGGGTTCTGCATGGCATGGCCAGCTCTAGAAATGGTATGAAAATTATTAAGCTAGCTATTTTACCAAGTGAAGCATGAAAGTTAAGCAATGATGTTAAAGACACAGGTAAGAATAAAACATTTTTTTAAAAAAAGAGGTCAAATCAAATACTTTTACTCTCAACATTAAGCTGGAGTAAAGTTATCTGTTTGAGGCAATAGATTATCAATACAGAGAAGGCATGTCCAGAGGGTATAACAGCAATAAGAGGATCCCCCCAAAAGATAAACCTCTGACTGCTTGAACATTTAGCTGCTGAGATGCAGTGTCTGACCCTGGGTTTGGATGTGCTCTGCTCCAGAGAGATGGCTCACTCCTTCTTTACCCTCTCCTTCCTCCAGGCGTTGGCATGGGCACGATCCTCATCGTCTCCTTGGTGGCCATTTACTACAATATGATCATTGCTTATGTTCTCTTCTACCTCTTTGCGTCCCTCACAAGCGACTTGCCCTGGCAGCACTGCGGCAACTGGTGGAACACTGACCTGTGTCTGGACCACCATATCATCAAGGCAGGGAACACCACGTTCCCCGTCAACATCACCAACACCGTCAGCCCCAGCGAGGAGTACTGGAGGTAAAGAGGTCAGCCCAACCCAGACATGGTTGGCATCCAACTAGGGAGAAGATTGGTATGGGATGAGTGGTTAAGGGTCTGTGCTGCATGTCTCATGGCATGTTGAGCACTCATGGTTGGTGTTGTGGGTGCTGTGATGGGCTCTTGTGCTCAGCTGTGGGTGATATCTCAGTTTAGCCATTGTGATGTGGGAAGTGTCCATGTTCTAGCACTTCTGTGCTGGAGATGTGTTAGACTGAAATGCATCCCATGCCTGGAATGGCTGGGAATTTGCTCTCAAGATGCCAGGCATCCTTTCTAGGCCCTTTAATATGTGGTGGGATAATCACACCAGCTGCTCCCCTTTCCTTGGCAAATATCTGCCAGTGTCTGAGATTGTTGACAAGGTTATTTTTTGCAGCAGAGGCATTTCTAGGGTCAGAGATGCCTCTGGATGAGGAAAGGGTGTGCCCATGGCCACTCACTACTGGTTCTCCTTTCTCCCCAGCCGGTACGTCCTGCACATCCAAGGGAGCTCAGGGATTGGGGATCCTGGGACAATCCGCTGGAACTTGTGTCTGTGCCTGCTCCTTTCTTGGACTATTGTCTACCTGTGCATCCTAAAGGGAGTCAAATCCTCTGGCAAGGTATGGGCTGGGTGGTCTCTTTTGGGGGGATCCACAGTGATGCTCACCAGTGCCTGCAACTCTGCACATCTGGGAAAATGAGAGCCACAAACAGCATTTGCTGGACATAGGCTGCTTTGGGGATACCTTGCACACCCAGACACTGGCAGAGCTGACACACCAGCCCTGCAGCAGCCCAAGGACCCCAGCACTGCAGGGTGACACTTGGCAATGCGACGTCCCACCCTGGGGACAAGGCTGGAGGACAGAGCTCATGCTGTGCTCTCCCTTCCAGCTCTCCCAGCTGGCTCTGCTCTCCCACAGGTCGTGTACTTCACTGCCACCTTCCCATACCTCATCCTGGTGATGCTGCTCATTCGTGGTGTGACCCTGGAAGGGGCCTGGAAGGGGATCCAGTTTTATCTCACGCCCCAGTTTGAATACTTGCTGTCTTCCAAGGTGAGCAGCATGTTGTGCAACTTATTCAAGACACAAAAACGAACCTTCTCCTGCCACCTCTAGCATGCAAGAGGTATTTCCCTTACTCAAGAGTCTTTTCTGGCCAGCCCCTGATCTAAAGTCATCTCTCTTGATTGTTCCTAGACCAAAAGTCTTTGCCCCACACCTTGTCTTTACCACACTTCCCACACATCCCATCCCCATGCCTGTGTTTCTGGCACTGCATGCAGGGGGTGGCATTCTCACCACCTCCCCTGGGTGCCAGGACTGTGAGCAGGATCATCCCAGCTCCTGTGATGGGCTGGGGGTGGCAATGGGTGCCTGTGGTGGATTTGGCTGTTCTGTTGTTCTTAAGCAATCTGTGTGTAACAGAGAATTTCCTAGGGGTCAGCAATGATGGTAGCAGAGACCACACAGGTTTACAAGGGCATTTAATGGCATGCTGGGCTGGCTCTAAACACTCTCATTGGCCCTTCCACTAGCCAGTTGATTCACTATGAGTGGTGAGCATGTTAGCAAGGAAAGGCAAAGATCCCCTGGGCTGCGTATGCCTGGAGCACTGGGAAAGATGTGCCCAGGGTTCTGGAGAAGCAGATTTCCAACTCTGTCTTCCTCATGAGGAGGTTTCCAAACTCCTGCTCTCCTCAGAACTGCTTCCTTCCCCCAGGTGTGGATTGAGGCAGCCCTGCAGATTTTCTACTCCCTTGGGGTGGGCTTCGGGGGCCTCCTCACCTTTGCCTCGTACAACACCTTCCATCAGAATATTTACAGGTGGGAATCCTTTGTTGTCTCATAAAAACTGTGGGCTGGGGGGTGCCATGAAAACCTCAGCCAGCGGGTTCGAAGCCAGCAGAAGCACATGGTGCAGCACACAGTCACCCAACACTGCTCCTTGCCCAAGCATCATATGGATGCCTGGCAGCTTACACAGGCTTGAGAGGGACAGAGGGATCTGTGGGAGAAGATTATCCTAAGCACCAAGGCTGAACACCCAGCTCAGAAGTTTTGGGCTGTAGGTGCTGAAAGCCAAGGATATTTGAGGCTGGAGTTATGAATGTTTGTCTTGTCCCCAGCATCCAATGCAGTTGGACACTTGGTCTGATTCCTTCCACAGGGGAAAGAAAGCTTAGGAGGAACCCCCAAAAGTTACCTATGTCACAAGATATATGCTCCTTTTGACCCTGCAAAGCACATGCCCAGAGAAGTCCTGGGGGAGAGTCACTAGGTCACCTTACTATGACACCTGGGGTTGGCAATGCCACCACACCCTGGTGTCAGGGGGAAGAAGCAAGCATGTTCAAACCATCTTCTTTCTCCTCTGTAGGGACACCTTCATAGTCACCCTGGGCAATGCCATCACCAGCATCCTGGCAGGGTTTGCCATCTTCTCTGTTTTGGGATACATGTCCCAGGAGCTTGGGGTCCCTGTTAACCAGGTGGCAAAAGCAGGTGAGGCCAAACAAAGACCCTTTCCCCTTCCCCCTCTGCCTGGATGTTCTGAAGACCATCACTTCCAGGAAGGAAGGCACCTGAGGGTGTCAGCATGAGGGATGATGATGTATGCACAGCTGGCCAGAGGGAGGGAAGGGGAGAGACAGGTTCCTATCTTGTAAACTCTGAGCAACAAGTGATGTCTAATGAAGGTCTGAGCAATGAGCAGGTTAATTCTCCTGCACCCCTCTACTCTCTGCTGAGGACCCCTCTTGCTCACCTTGCAAGACTCCTGGCAGGTCACTGCTGTGCTGCTCGGCTGGTCTTTCTTCACTCCTCCCTGTGCCCAGTGCTGTCACTCCCTTTTCACCCTGCTGTCCTTTGCCTCCCCTAGGCCCTGGCTTGGCTTTTGTGGTGTACCCCCAGGCCATGACAATGCTCCCCCTTTCTCCATTCTGGTCATTCCTGTTCTTCTTCATGCTGTTAACCTTGGGCCTGGACAGCCAGGTAAGGACAGAGCCCACCAAGCCAGCCATGGAGCCCAGGCAGCCCAGGGGGCTCAGGGGACCCTCTTCTCCTTTGCATGCAGTTTGCATTTATGGAGACCATTGTTACAGCAGTAACAGATGAATTTCCCTACTACCTGCGGCCAAAGAAAGCTTTGTTCTCAGCTGTCATCTGCATCATCCTCTTCCTGATGGGGCTCATCCTCACAACTGAGGTATGGCTATGGGGCTGGATCTGCCATGGGAAACAACTAGGGCCTCATTTTAGGCAGAACATAGGTCAGGGGCCAAGTTTGCAGACACAAGTGTGTTCATAACAGGTAACCAGGTAGAAGTGAGATGACTGATGGGCCTGGGCTTCCAGGGGATGTGAGGGACAAGGGGAATGACATAGTGTTGATCCCATCCCTACACCAACCCCATAAAGACAGTGATGTCTCTTGAGAGTGTTGACTGCTGTCTTCCCCAAGGTCACCAAAAGTGGGAGGATATGGGTGGAGCTTTATTGGGACAATAGTCTCAGAGATGCTGGCCACTGTGCTTTGTCTCTGCAGGGTGGGATGTACTGGCTGGTCCTACTGGATGACTACAGTGCTGGCTTTGGTCTCATGGTGGTAGTCATCACTACCTGCCTCGTGGTGACACGTGTCTATGGTAAGAGTGCCTGTCCCCACAGGGGCACAGGAGAGGATGGCCTGTCTGTGTGGAGAGAGGGATTTAGAGGGAGTGGTAGGGAAGTCAACAGCCTCACAATGGAGCATGAAACATCTCTGCTCCCACCACTTGTTTCTTCTTGGCCATAACTGGATTCACCTCTCCAAAGATATGTGTGGTGCTGAGCCTGGTCCCTCAGACAGCACCATCTTGGGCCCCCTCCTGCACCTCCCAGCCAGAAGGGGAGACAGTTCCTTGCTGTAGAGGATGGAAACCACTGCTTTTGGTCAGTGCAAGGCAGCCTGGTACAGGCGCTGGGCTCTGGGGAAGGGGTCGCAACTTCTGAGCCACTCTCCTTCTCCCTCCTCCAGGCATGAAGAGGTTCTGCCGAGATATCCACATGATGCTGGGCTTCAAACCAGGGCCCTACTTCAGAGCCTGCTGGACAGTTCTATCCCCAGCAACAATGATGGTAACTGCTCAGCTTGAGGTGCTGGAGAGCCAGTGTGCTGCCAGTATCCTTGGGTGACCTCCTAGTGTAACAAGTCACTCTGCTGGCATCTCCTGCCTCAGGGACCACCCTTGTTCTGCTGGGAGGTCTCCATCCTCTCCAGGCCTTTTTTGAGCATGAGACCTTTGGAGGGCTCTGGGATGAACTCACTTTCTTCCCATTCCGCAGGCTCTGTTGGTGTATAACATTGTCAAGTACCAGCCCTCCGAGTACGGCAGCTACCGCTTCCCCACCTGGGCCGAGGTCTTGGGCATCCTCATGGGAGTCCTATCCTGCCTGATGATTCCCATGGGCATGGTGGTGGCTGTGCTCCAAGAAGAAGGGACGCTGTGGGAGGTAGGAGGTGCTGGGGCCTGGAATTGCTGGAGAGTATCCCAGAAATGTGCAGGGGTGAGCATGAGCCCCTGCCAAGCCTGTATCCTCTCTCCAGAGGTGTGTGTCCCCATCCCTTCTTGCTGCCCATGGGGTGTGAGAGATGGCACATCCCGAGGCATTTCCAGGAGTGCTGCTTCCCATGATGCCAGGCAGGTACTGAGTAACACTGCTGCCCAAGGGGCAGCCCTGTGTACATCTCCCCTCCAAAACAAGCCCGCTGTGCCCTGAACATCGTCCCTAGCGTGGGGCAGGCACAGGCACCTGGGACTTTGCACCCATTCGGCAGAGTAACGACAGAGCAAGGCAGGCAGCTGCCAGACTGTGCAGGCAGCCCAGATGGGATCCCTGCACTGAAAGGCTTCTCCCAGGAGCAGGTTACAGAGCTGCTGACTGCTCACAGCTTTCCAACCCTTCACTGCTCTCCTCAGGCCGTTAAAAGCAGAGGAACAGAGCTTGCTGCCCTCCCCAGGCAGCAATCGCATGTGCTGAAGCACTTGTGGTTGTAATCTCTCTTGACAGAGCCATGAGCACTGTGGAATGGTCAGAAGCCACCTTGGCAGAGGCTATCCCCTTGTCCAGGTGGCTCTAGCCCCACTCCACAGGGCTGTATCCCTACAATAGCCCCTCACCACGAGCACCCACAGACCATGACATCTCCCCAGCCCACAGCAAGGCACTTAGAGCTGCCTTCCCAAAAACCTTCAGGACAAGCATTTGACCCCATCCTATCCTCACTGGGGGGCTCTTCCAGTCCCTGGGGCCTGACAGAGTCCCCCGGGAGGGACGAGTGAGCTGCAATGTGGGGGTGCTGGCAGGGAGTGGAGGGGATGCTGGTGCAGCATGTCTGTGCTCCTTCTGCCTGTCTCCTCTCAGCGAGTCCAGCAAGCCAGCCGGCCCACCATGGACTGGGGCCCGTCGCTGGAGGAGAACAGGACTGGCATGTACGTGGCAAGCCTGCCTGGCAGCCAGTCCCCCAAGCCACTGATGGTCCACATGCGGAAATACGGAGGCATCACCAGCTTTGAGAACACGGCCATTGAGGTGGACCGGGAGATGGAGGAGGAAGATGAGGAGGAGTCCATGATGTGAGGGGACTCCGTGTCCCATGAGCTGTGTGGGAGCTCACCCCCCAGTTTGCACAGGTTGCACTGCAGCACTTCAGGACACCTTGCAGAGGTCTTTCGGGGAGCAGCCGAGAGATGCCAGCCCTGCCATGTTCCTCACCACTGCCCTGGCCCTGCCAGGATAGAGTGCTGCCTGTCCTGGTGCTCCCGAGGTGTTTCTGTTCAGTGTAACAAGCTGTGTGATGAGTCCATGCATTCATGTGACAGTGTATGGTTGAAGTGTTGGGGCTGCCCCACTCCAACCTTCAGCCCCAGCCCTGCCCTCCCCAAGCAGGGATGTCTGGGCTGCAGGGATGTCCGGGCTGCAGGAAGCAGGGAGAAGGATAAGGAGGTCCTCTACATTGGTATGTTCTCTGTTTGTGTGTATTCGACTCTAATAACCCATAAACACATGTGAGAGAGGCTGTAACATCATCCTCCATGCCCTGAGGACAGTGTGTGCCATCACACTCTACTCACACAGAAATATTCCAGCAAAACCAGCACAAGTCAGTGTCATCCTAAAGAAATTTGAACTAATAAATGAGCAGTGAAAAACAAGTAGAAGAAAAAAAGAAAAACTTTGTAAACAAACCAGCTTGACCTTTCCAGGCTTGCAGATACCATACTTGGTAGGGCAAGGCAGCTCTTTCCTATGGTTTCTGGCAGGGCTGGGGTGACTTGAAGGAAGGGAAGAGGCTGAGGGACCCATTCCCCATGTGTGTAGGAAGGTCTCCCCATGTGTGTAGGTCAGGGACAGGTCTCAGCTGGACCCAGTGCCAAAGGAGGAGCCACGTTCATTGCCAAGGGAGATCCAAGGTATGGACCTAGCCCTGGGTGCTGCTTTTCCCAGGGAAAGGTGAAGGCTGAGTTTCAGTGCCTGCATGTGATATCGGGGTAGATCAGCCAGAGATCC